AAGTAAATGAGGATAACAGCACAACATACCAAAACTTATGGGACGCAGCAAAAGCAGTGTTAAGAGGAAAGTTTATATCAATAGGTGCCTACATCAAGAAATTGGAAAGGCACCAAATAGATGAGCTTTCTATTCACCTCAAGGATCTAGAAAACTTACAGCAAACCAGACCCAAATCTAGTAGGAGAAGAGAAATCATTAAAATCAGAGAAGAAATCAACAGGATTGAATCAAGAAAAACATTACAAAAAATCAGCCAAACGAGGAGCTGGTTTTTTGAAAAAATAAACAAAATTGACACCCCATTGGCCCAACTAACTAAAAAAAGAAGAGAAAAGACCCAAATCAATAAAATCAGAGATGAAAAAGGAAATGTAACAACAGACACCACAGAAATAAAAAGAATCATCAGAAATTACTACAAGGACTTGTATGCCAGCAAACAGGGAAACCTATCAGAAATGGATAGATTCCTGGACACATGCAACCTACCTAAATTGAACCAGGAAGACATCGAAAACCTAAACAGACCCATAACTGAGACAGAAATTGAAACAGTAATAAAGGCCCTCCCAACAAAGAAAAGCCCAGGACCAGATGGATTCACTGCTGAATTCTACCAGACATTTAAAGAAGAACTAACTCCAATTCTTCTCAAACTATTCAGAACAATTGAAGAAGAGGGAATCCTCCCAAATTCTTTCTATGAAGCCAGCATCACCTTAATTCCTAAGCCGGAAAAAGATGCAGCACTGAAAGAGAATTACAGACCAATATCCCTGATGAACATAGATGCAAAAATCCTCAATAAAATTCTCGCCAATAGAATGCAACAACACATCAGAAAGATCATCCACCCAGACCAAGTGGGATTTATCCCTGGTATGCAGGGATGGTTTAATGTGCGCAAGACAATCAATGTGATACACCACATTAACAGACTGCAGAAGAAAAACCATATGATTCTCTCAATAGATGCCGAGAAAGCATTTGATAAAATACAACACCCGTTCATGATGAAAACTCTAAGCAAACTGGGTTTGGAAGGAACATTCCTCAATACAATCAAAGCAATCTATGAGAAACCCACAGCCAACATCCTATTGAATGGGGAAAAGTTGGAAGCATTTCCACTGAGATCTGGGACCAGACAGGGATGTCCACTCTCACCACTGCTATTCAATATAGTTCTGGAGGTTCTAGCCAGAGCTATTAGGCAAGAAAAAGAAATTAAAGGGATACAAATTGGGAAGGAAGAACTCAAACTATCCCTCTTTGCAGATGACATGATTCTTTATTTAGGGGACCCAAAGAACTCTACCAAGAGACTATTGGAACTCATAGAAGAGTTTGGCAAAGTAGCAGGGTATAAAATCAATGCACAAAAATCAACAGCCTTTGTATACACAGACAATGCCATGGCTGAGGAAGAAATTCTAAGATCAATCCCATTCACAATAGCTACAAAAACAATCAAATACCTTGGAATAAACTTAACCAAGGACGTTAAAGATCTCTACGATGAAAATTACAAAACCTTAAAGAAAGAAATAGAAGAGGATACCAAGAAATGGAAAAATCTTCCATGCTCATGGATTGGAAGAATCAATATCATCAAAATGTCCATTCTCCCAAAAGCAATTTATAGATTCAATGCAATACCAATCAAGATACCGAAGACCTTCTTCTCAGATCTGGAAAAATTGGTGCTGAAATTCATATGGAGGCACAAGAGACCTCGAATAGCTAAAGCAATCTTGTACAACAAAAACAAAGCCGGAGGCATCACAATACCAGATTTCAGGACATACTACAGGGCAGTTGTAATCAAAACAGCATGGTACTGGTACAGAAACAGAAGGATAGACCAATGGAACAGAATTGAAATACCAGAAATCAACCCAAACATCTACAGCCAACTTATATTTGATCAAGGATCTAAAACTAATTCCTTGAGCAAGGACAGTCTATTCAATAAATGGTGCTGGGAAAATTGGATTTCCACGTGCAGAATCATGAAGCAAGACCCCTACCTTACACCTTACACAAAAATCCACTCAACATGGATTAAAGACCTAAATCTACGACCTGACACCATCAAGTTACTAGAGAACATTGGAGAAACCCTTCAAGATATTGGCACAGGCAAAGAGTTTCTGGAAAAGACCCGGGAGGCACAGGCAGTCAAAGCCAAAATTAACTATTGGGATTGCATCAAATTGAGAAGTTTCTGTACTGCAAAAGAAACAGTCAGGAGAGTGAAGAGACAACCGACAGAATGGGAAAAAATATTTGCAAACTATGCAACAGATAAAGGGTTAATAACCAGAATCTACAAAGAGATCAAGAAACTCCACAAAAACAAAACCAACAACCCAATTAAGAGATGGGCCAAGGACCTCAATAGACATTTTTCAAAAGAGGAAATCCAAATGGCCAACAGGCACATGAAAAAATGTTCAAGGTCATTAGCAATCAGAGAAATGCAAATCAAAACCACAATGAGGTTCCACCTCACCCCGGTTAGAATGGCTCACATTCAGAAATCTACCAACAACAGATGCTGGCGAGGATGTGGGGAAAAAGGGACACTAACCCACTGTTGGTGGGAATGCAAACTGGTCAAGCCACTATGGAAATCAGTCTGGAGATTCCTCAGAAACCTGAAGATAACCCTACCGTTCGACCCAGCCATCCCACTCCTTGGAATTTACCCAAAGGAATTTAAATTGGCAAACAAAAAAGCGGTCTGCAGCCTAATGTTTATTGCAGCTCAATTCACAATAGCTAAGACCTGGAACCAACCTAAATGCCCATCAACGGTAGACTGGATAAAGAAATTATGGGATATGTACTCTTTAGAATACTATACTGCAGTAAGAAACAACGAAATCCAGTCATTTGCAACAAAATGGAGGAATCTGGAACACATCATGCTGAGTGAAATAAGCCAGTCCCAAAGGGACAAATACCATATGTTCTCCCTGATCGGTGACAACTGACTGAACACCAAAAAGGAAACTTGTTGAAGTGAAAGGGACACTATGGGAAACGGTGACTTGATCAGCATAGCCCTGACTGTTAATGAACAACTTAATACATTATCCCTCTTAGTAGTTTTTTTGTCTGTTCTACTTAATATGACTGATTTAATTCTGTAATTAATACACAGTTATTCTTAAGTGTTGAAATTGAACTGAAATGTGATCCCTGTTAAACATAAGAGTAGGAATAAGAGAGGGAAGAGATATATAATTTGGGACATGCTCAAGCTGACTTGCCCCAAATGGTAGAGTTAGAAACATACCAGGGGACTCCAATTTAATCCCATCAAGGTGGCATGTACCAATGCCATCTCACTAGTCCAAGTGATCAATTTCAGTTCGCAATTGATCATAATGAAAGGACTAAGAGTCAAAGGGAGCACATAAGCAAGTCTAGTACCTGCTAACACTAACCGATAGAATAAATAAAGGGGAGAGTGATCCAACATGGGAAGCGAGATACTCAGCAGACTCATAGAATGGCAGATGTCCTAAATAGCACTCTGGCCTCAGAATCAGCCCTAAAGGCATTCAGATCTGGCTGAAAAGCCCATGAGAGTATTTCAGGCATGGAAAGCCAAGACACTCTGGCAAAAGATCTCTGTGAGTGAGATCTCAGTGAAAAGAACAGGTCTTCAAAGAAGGAGGTACCTTTCTCTGAAGGGAGGAGAGAACCTCCACTTTGTCTATGACCTTGTCTAAACAAGATAAGAGTCGGAGAACTCAAGGGGCTTCCATAGCCTTGGAAACTCATGACTGGAGCATAGGGAGATTACTGATGCCATAGACAGGAGTGTCAATTGGTAAAGTCAACAACAGGAGTCACTGTGCACTTACTCCTCATGTAGGATCTCTGTCCTTAATGTGCTGTGCATTGAGATTTAATGCTATAACGAGTACTCAAATAATATATTTCACTTTGTGTTTCTATGGGGGTGCAAACTGTTGAAATCTTTACTTAATGCATACTAAACTGATCCTCTGTAAAAAAAAAAAAAAAAAAAGAAAAGAATAGAAACTATCAACTCCCAACTTGACTCTCACTGGGATTAAACATGACAATAGGTCTGATCTGATTTCATCATCATTAAAAAAAATCATCTATTATTTTTCACTTTATGTTTCTGTGTGGGAGCAAACTGTTGAAATCCTTACTTAATGTATACTAAGCTGATCTTCTGTATATTAAGATAATCGAAAATGAATCTTGATGTGAATGGAAGGGGAGAGGGAGTGGGAAAGGGGAGGGTTGTGGGTGGGAGGGACGGTATGGGGGGGAAGCCATAGTAATCCATTATTCGTACTTTGGAAACGTATATTCATTAAATAAAAGTTAAAAAAAATAATAATAATAATAAAAAAAAAAAAAAAAGATACTCAAACACCGAGCTAAATTAGGCATATTCAGTATTTAATTTATGGTTCACTATTTTCCCCCAAAAATGCCACATTTTCTTATGTACGCTGTAGAAAATTTAACCTTCCTCCAGTGTTTTACATTTTCCATGAAAGTTAATAAGGCAAATTGGCTGATCCTACCTTGTACCTACTCAATAAGCACACACACACACACACACACACAAAAAAAAAAAAAAAAAAAAAAAAAAAAAAGGTCGGATCTGAGGGTTTCCTGAACCTAAGAACCTAAGCAGCCTGTTAAAGACATAACATTTCTTAGACATATTCTTGGCCATCCACTTTACATCCAAACATCCTCTCGATGCCAGCTTCCCTCTGCACAGCTTTCTCGGCAATGCCTGGGAGTAGCAGCTGGTGCCTGGGCTGTGGCCACGGACAGAGCATCCAGAGGAGTTCTCTGTGGACTGTGAACCCCTCCTGCTCTGCTGTGCTCAGGAGCTTGGCATGCTGTGTGTGCATGGAAAAGACAAAGCAGAAAAACTCCTGAAGGCTGTGTGAGGAAGCTGAGGACTAACTAACTTCTTCTGGCTTTTCCAGGCTGATTTAAAAAGCGAGCTCTTTGTCCTGGGTAAGCCTCCTCGTAGCCCAGTGATGTCTAGGAGATCCTGCAGCTCACCTGTCAGAGGGCTCGGCGGTTCCCACAGGGTAGGGTCAGAGTGTCCTCACATTGTCACTGTTGTCCCGACCACCTTCCTTCTCCAGGGGCTGCCTCTTCTCTTCCATGGGTGTCTTTGCAGGGAACTGGCAGTCAAGGAGAGCTGGCTGCACCCTTCTGTGTGCTAGAGTGACCAACTGCCCATGAGCTAGGAAATTAAATCAGCATAGCAATCCTACCTAAGTCTTTGGGCAATGTGCTTCCTTTTTACATGTGTGTTTTCCAAACCCCAAAAAGACGTGATCAAATCCCCCACTCTACAAGTAAGGATGTGGTGTGTGTTTTTTCTACGTCCATCTGTGTTTCTGTATTAAGTCACTGCTTTCTGGTCACCGTTTTTAATGCAAAGGACAAATCTTTTGCATTCATAAACTGAACTCATACACTTCCAGTAATATTTGCTTCTGTGCCATTCAGCTCGTCTGGGCTTCTTAAAATCCATGATCCTTGTCTCGGAATATTTCGTTTCCCTGATGTGTGTGCCTTTCACCCCACTCCCCTTTTCTCACAAACAGCGCTCTCTGGGCACTGTCTACTCCCAATTTCTTGGCAACTTTGATTAAATTTAAAGACCACCTTACTTTCCCTTTAAGTCCCTAGTTCTGTAACACCCACAGTACTTTGAAATGAGTGGATTCCAACTGGCACTCTCAATTCTGAAGAATTAAACCAAGGAGTTCAGGAATTTTCATCTGTGCCTAAGACAGGGTTCGGTTCACCGCTGTTGTTTTGGTGGACCCTAGCTTGGCCTTGCTTGCTCTCTCGGGTAGCTGTGGTTCTGCATGGCAAGTTCTTAAGGGCTCAATTTCAAAGGAATTTTTTCTATTTTTTGAAAAATGTATATATTGCTCTGTGTTTCTATCATTTTGTGCTTTCTGCCTTGCACAGGCAGACCTCATTTTGTTGCCGACTCGGGGATTTATGCTGCCCTAGAGAGCGGGGAATGTCAGTTTGTGGAGATCTGAAAGGCGTTCAGAGTGACACCAACAGAGAGGTTTCCCTGCAGTTAAGAAAGCCCAGCCATGGATTCCCGTGGTCAGCAAGAGGGGCACCTTCAGCTTTTCCTTTGCCACATGTTTACCTATTTACATGTTAGATCGCACGTTTGTGTGGCCTATAGATATTCTATTTTATCTAGATTTTGCAAAGTTGTACTTAACCTTGCTACTTAAGAAGGAAAAATAAGACAACATAGTGCTGTTATTTCATCTAACTCTACGTGGCAAGTACTACAACTAACAGACTTTAGAACTTCTTATAGCACTTGCAGAGACCCTTATATATTAGGATTTAAAGTAACAATCAGCCCTTCTTTAAGAATTATTTAATGCTACTTATCACTCACCCTTCGAAGATGCATCTGTAGAGGGAGAGCTAAATGGATGCTCTCAGGCAGCCTACATCTCACCATCTGAGAAACGGAAGTACACATTCTACTGATGCCAAAGATTCAAGAAGATTTCAAATCAGTTTCCTTGCAAACAGTGGATTGTGGTTGGTTCTTGCAGTGAAAATTAGCCTGTGTTTAAAATACATGGCTTTTCTGTCTCCATTTTTGATGTGTACTTAAAAGGTTACACTAAAAGAGGAAAGAAAATATTACCACATTGCTAAGGAAAAAGTTAGATATTTAAGATCCAATAAAAATGGCAGGATGCTTCGTGGGTTTTCTACGTTTTATCGTAGTCCTGATCTTACACAGAAATGTAAGCGTGATACAGTCCTTGCTCAATATTTCCACCAACAGTGCTTGGGATGTGTTGACTTGAAAACAGTCTTAAGTTCACAGTTCATGGGAGCCTCCCTGAATGTTACAGAGGTACATTGTTCTATTTTTATCACCGAGCTAAGAGGATCTGAGGAATATAAAAGCCTGAGCAGGTGGTTAAAACAGAAATGAACACAAACCGAAAACACTGGTGCTTCCTTCTCAAAAATTTCAAACGTAGGGAAGCAAGAACATGGTCAGAAAATCAGATGGACAACTATTCCACGTAGCTCTGTTGTCTTTAAAATATTTCAAAATTAGTCCAGGTTGAAGGCACTTGCCAAGACTGATCAAAGGCCAAAAACAGCTTTCAGCTTGTTGTTGCCACTGCTCACCACTAGATGGCGATAGGGTACAGACACGTCTTAAAAGTCTGCCCACTGAGTTTTAACGCCAAGGAGGAAAGGCAAAAGCCAGCCGGCGGAAGTCGTTTTGTTGAATGCCCATACAGAATACAAACATCTGCTGAATGGACAAAGTCACTAAGCCCCCAAGTAAATGTCTACGCCGTCTGTTCCATCATAGTGAAAGTCAAAATTATCATTCTGGTTTTTTCTGTTTCTAACTTGTCATGTTAAGAAAGTATCCAATATCTTTAGGTTTTGGTTTATTAGTCTGCAAAATGAGCTTGAATTATCATGATTATTATTTTTACATGAACAAGAAGTGTGAGAATCACCTGGTAAATGCTGTTTGTCTCAGCTCTCTGATTGTGCAAGGTTAACAGTGGGCAGGTTTACAGAGCGGAGGAAGCATATCTGTGGAAATGTGGATTCCTTTATGGGTTCCCTGAGAGGGGCAAGGTTAATCATCATCTTGTCCAACTCACAAATCCTAGAAGTTAGGAGGCTAAGGGGTAGCCCCCAAGTTCATAGGGTAGTCATTGCCAAAAACAGAAAGACACAAATGTGCACTCATAAGTAACTGTTAATGCCATCTCTCTCTACTGGCCAAATGCTTTCAAAGCAAACTCATTCACATACTAATTCAAATAATTGGTCATCTGTCCACAAAACTGGCTCCCAGTTATCCACATTAACATGGAGGGGACCCATGTGACAGATAAGCTTAGACGTGCCCCAAAACTCATCATTATGAGAGAGGCACAACTCAACTAATCAAAGTTGTGATCGATTTTGGCCTGATTACAGGAACAGTACAGAAAACTGGTGGCTTGGAGTGGGAAGGGGAGGTGGGGTTTGAAGGATTTGAAGGAGGGCGAAAGATGTTGGGAAAGGCAAGTGAAGTTGAGCTCATTGCTAACTGACATGCCCAGGAGCCCGAGTTCCCAAGACTTAGAGGCCTGTGGAATTCTCAAGGAGCCGCATGCGTCCAGCAATAGCCCATTTTCCTAAGCACCACTGGGACAGTTCCTTTCACTTGTAAGTTGGATTGAAGGAAATACACTGGTAAGAATTATGATGAGAACTAAAGGGATATACACAGACTTCAAAAGTAGATGATCAACTTAATGAACAATTTGATTTTTTAAATTGCATTCATATTTTAACGTAAAGGAGCAATGAAATTAGACCAACAAGCTTTAGCAAGCACTGGATGTCATGATATAAAACCTCTACTCAATTTAGAAATATTAGGATGGTTTAAATACCTGAGAATAGGCGTAACACTTTTATACCACAGTAAAATATATTTTATAAAACATTCTCTCTTGAGACCAAATAATATTTTGTTATTTATAGCTTTTGTTATGCATTAATAGTACTGTGCTTGTTTTCATGAGAGAACTATAGCTATCTTGGTGTGTATATTTTTTAAAGGGTAAAATTTGTATTCCCAGTATTTTTGAGTCACTAACATGAGCATTTTCATAATAATGTGGCTTTAATGCATACTCTTTGGCCAGAAACTTTATTCCCTGGAATGTATTCTAAGGAATAGTTCAAATGAACAAAGTGGCTCTTAGTACAAAAAGTATTTATAGCATCATTAGTTATGTCAGTTAAAAAAAGACCAATCTTCAAAAACAAAAGAGATTAATGGATAAGAAAACTATGATATATAGGCACATGTGAAGAAGCATTATTTTACAGTCATTTAAAAAAAAGTAAACTGAAAAATTAGAAAATAGTGTTAATGTCAGCTGATATATATAAATCTTATTTCTGCATAAAAAGTATATGTATATATAAAGTTTTATTGGATTGGAAGAAAACTTGAAATATAGGATACAGGCTTATGGATGACTTATAGTTACCTCTATATAGTTAAGTTCATTTAATAATATATTGAATTAAATAACTTTAGAAATGGCTCAAAAATTTAGTCTTAACAATCCCAAATATATCTTATATTTTAATAATACATTGTTAATTTCATTTATTTATAGGAATAAACTATTTCATGCAGGTATCCAGTAATTCTGTCCTTTAAAGTTTATGTATTCAATACACAAACTTTTAAGTAAGTTTCTAAGAATACAGTTAGTATGTACTTCTGATTAATAGAGTCAAAGCTTATGTTTTCATAATGTAAGTACTTAATCTCATGCTAGGACAGCTTGGATAGGAAATGAATGGGTAAATAATGTAGGGCTGGGGACGATCATAGACTCAAACTGAAAGAAACTCCAGAGTCCCCCCACTAAGCTGGGACCAGGGGAGTTTCCATGTGAAATTTGCGGGAAAATACTTCCATCCTATCAGTTATCTACTCGTAACTAGAGAAATCCAAGAACTGGTCCTGAGGTCTAAGGACATGGATCTAGTACCTAATTCCATAGTCATGCTTCTATAATTGGCATGCAAACTCTGGTTTTGTCATTTGTAACTATCACTCAGAAAAGAATGCTTTTGAAATGTATCATGAGTGAGTTGTATGTATTTTTCCTCTAACAGGTAACATTTAGGTAGTCAATATAAATCATACTGAGTTTTAATATTCAACAAACATGTTAACTTTCATTCATTGAAATATTTATGTGGATTTGCGGGATGCCAAGGCTTGTCATTTCCAATATTATAAGTATCTATTACAGATACTGGTCTTGATGCTTAGTTTAAAAAGAAAAGAAACTCTTTTGAGAGTTCAGTGCACTGGGAATTTCTACCAATATTTCTCTCCTAAGGTAAAATGTTATGTGTTACCTGGATATTGTTTGTTGCATTCTACTTAAAGTTCTCTGTTTTCTCTTTTTAAAACTGCATGTTTCTACTCCACATTGAGAACAGAGAGTGTTAATTCAAATGTAGCATGGGATGTCTGCCTATTGATCTTTTCATCTGTACTGTACGTGAAGATGTTGTCAGTGAAGGACGAGTTTAAAGAATGGATGTGCCGTCCTGTTGTTAAGCTAAATGTGCTCTTCTTCTGCTTGTTTGAAAAAACACTGCAGCACAAGGTTGTATGAAGGTGTCTGCACCTTCTATTCTAGTGGTCTGATGTCTGTGTTCTCGCCATATTCCTGGCCTTTGAAAAATCAATAGGACTGAACCCCAATTTGCCCTGAAATCTTGAGCAGGCTAGATTGCAGATGTGTTCAAAACATTGAACCTCGGTTATTTTTATTTAATGCAAAACACCCTTCAGAACACTTTAAATATTGATCCTGCAGAAATCCTTTTTCAGTTTTTTCTTCCTTCCTCTTGGTTTTTTACAACAGGAAATATTAAATGTCAAGAAAAGTACCATGCCATTATCCAAGTTATCTTTTAATTAGCACCAATTTAAACATTGATTACATTGAAAATCATTTCATTTCAGCCACAGCGTCCTGTGTTTACTCATGAAAACATTCAAGGTGGGGGGGAACCGTAAGTATCCTTCTTATCTTCTAAATTCAGGACTGACCTTGACCCAAGGGGCAGTGGATGTACCAAGATGGCAGACAGTACAACCTCACAAGTGAAAAAGACCAAAGTAACGAACAGATTTCCTAAAAAGAAATTGCAATGGTCCCATTTTTCATGACAGAGCTAGAAGCTAATTTTAAAAAGAAACATTATTTTAGAGACTATTTTAATTTATAAAGAAGGAAAACCTTGTAGTGTTGCAGTGGTTTCTGAGATTTATAAATCCATTTCTTTCTCTGGTCTACTGTAACTAACAGCTACAGTTTCAAAGACAAAACAGGGTCTAACCTTGTTTGTGCACCTATTTGGAGACTATAAAGCAGATCTAAATGTAAAGGTAGACCCAAAGTGATATTAATGACAAGTCAAAGTTGTGTGCTTAGCAGTGTCTTTTGAAAATGGCAACATTAAAGCACTCTCTCATTTAGTTACATAGTGTTTTCCCCAGCACCAGGAAAATCCCTTTTCAAACTTTGATTTCAAATTCTCCCTCTATTCTGAAACTAAAGTTTGATTTTCCTGGTGATACTACACATCATCTCTAAGACTTTGTTTTCTTGCATATTTTTTTAACCCCATGTTGCCCATGGGAGATGTTCAGAAGTCAACTTCCTTTTGACTACTGTGCATTCTGGAGTTAGTAGCTGGACCCTTAGGGAAGGAGGATTTGTGCTCCTAAACTGACCTGGCTTAGCTGAGCACACACAGTGAACCTCCAGCCTAACTGCTCACCTGGAGCACAGCAAGTACCCAAACTCATCCTCCTGGCTGCTCCTGGTGCGCAGCCTGGTGCCTTCATCACCATGAAATCCCCCTTCCATCCTGTAGAGCTGAAAGCATGCTCTTCAGAAACCATCTCTCACGGAGCACAGTCAGAAATGGGGCCTTGAATGTCTCCTAATTGGCAATCTTTAAGTATAACTTAGAATTCTAAGGTTTTTGTGCTCTTATTGATGTAGACAATGATAGAATCACACCACAAAAATGTAAATTCCAGGGCTATTTAGGTTTGTTCCATAACCAATCCATTACATTCAGCAGCTTTTAAGGAGTCTATGAAGGGAGCGGTATGCTACATTACACCTCTGTCTGTGATGTGTGACCATGGTCATTTGGTTGGTAGGAAACCACAGCTCTTGCAAATGGGAGAAAGCACATTTTCAAGGTCCTGCTTTGGACATTAAGAAACATTCTTTATTAAATTTCTGTCTGGCTCTGGCAGTCATGGGATGTTACTTAATCTTTCACTTAAAAAACCAGGTTTTGCTTAAAAGGAAGGGCATAATGTTATGTCGCTACAATTCAGAGCTTTGGTGAATACGTTACAGAGAAAGGTGCAAGTTACAGAAAGAGGTTCCAGCTTGGCTCAGCAGTTCCTATTTTAAAAAACAAACCTCTTGAGGCATCCTGCCCCCACCACCATCATTCATCTCACCAATACCTCCTTCCAAACAGCATTTTTTTAATTGTAATTCGGCTGCATTTCCTGTCGTGCAGCACTGATTTTGAAAGCCCACAGAGAGAGATTTCCAGAAGGTTTGTTTATGAATCCAAAAGTCTCATTTTTGTTTTGTTTTGTGGTCTAATTAAATCAGAATGGTAAGTAAATTTTGACAAGTGTGCTGGCTTTTGTCACACACAAACCAAGTAGGAGTCCCTGCCAGGTTTGATTTGTTAGTTCTCAGGGCCTTGTGATTTTTCAAACAGCTGGAGTTTGTGGCCTTAAATAGGCCTGTCTCCGTGCATGCTTGGAGAAGTGCCTGGCTGAACTCAGCCTAGTCCTGAGAAGCCCAACCAGAGTCAGTTTTCCCAACAGGAAAATGGCAGTGGAAATACCACCCAGGGTTGACGTCTCCTGCAGGTGTAAAATTGTGTACCCCAGGGGTACACAAAAGATATCCTTCCCAGAGCAGCCTCAAAATCCAATCCCTCACACGAACAATGAAATAATTTGGCTGTTCCCACCAAGCCTGCCCCATGCAGCTGTCCTGATCAGATCGTGTCTGTGGTCAGCACTGCCTTGTCCTGGCGCCCACTGCTCCTGGACTCTGTCCTTCTCTCTCCTTCCTCACAATCAGACTACAGAAGCCTGCCCTTTCTCAGAACAGTGTCAGGGACCAAAATGGCTTCCTAGAAAGACAAATGATTAACAGGGGAAAAGAAGAGATTTCTGATGTTGCGATCGCAGGCTCTGGTGCCAGGCACAGCGAGAGAAGGTTCTCTAGGAAAGAGTGGTAGGCACTGCATCTCACCAGCTCTGCCCCAGACCTGCCTGGAAGCCAACTGTTCCCATATGCACCAGTCCAGAAAGCTCACAGCCAGGGAAGGAAGCCAACAGATCTGTGTGCCTTAAAAGATGCGATATTTGAGTTCAAGGGCTAGAAGAGTTTTTGCCTACCAAAGGGCTTTCTGACTCAATAAAGTAAATAGAAATAAATCATGCACGTTGCTTAGCAGTATTCGGTATCGTGAACTCTTTAAAATTGGCCTCATAAAATCCTAAGTGCCCTAGAATTTGATCCTTATTTTCTTATGGCAGCACAATTATGTAACTGTTTTGAAGTGCAGCAGAAAAAAATTTACCAACTTTTTAAAAATCCCCTTCTCAGTAAGTGGTAATAATGTAGTACAGAAATACTATAGGAAGCTTCCATGTTAATTACCTACCAAATTCTTCCTCAATTTCTCTGCTGCTATGATTTGTCTTTACTTTCCCATGTGCCACTCCACATTAATACTCATTAAAATACATACAAGTTAATCTCACAAATTCAATGTCTAAATTCATTACTGATTAATATCACCATAATATGTGCTCTCAAAAAATTCAGGCAGGGAGGAAAGCAAAGTGGTAGCATGCTATCAGCAAGCCTCCTGTTTTAAGAGTGTTTAAATCCAACACAGTTTGTGCAGAACCCATCTGAAAAGGAACTTGTGAATATAGTCCACTATTTGAATTGGTTCAATAATAACTGAGTAAAGAATACATCCATTCAACATCATGAGTGAATGGATCAGATTTTCAAATTATAAATCCTCTGATTGTAACTATAAAACTAAACCTCTTTACAGAATTCTTGCTGTTGGAAAAATAACCTCCTCTTTGATAATAATTATCACATAGTGATTTGGGAGACGTGTGTGAGACATTTTGTACATTTTAATTCAGAATCATTTGAACATTCAATGTGCAAGCCTCGATTGTTTGCTTATGATTATGGCTACCTAGCATGGTAATTCCTTCATGGTTTTATATAGCTGAAAAGTGCAAATAACATTTTATATTATGTGCTATTATGTAATGTCTTAAAATAGATATTATATGAGTGGACATTTGAAATGCAGGTCCGACTTAACAAATGTTTAAAGATTTAAATCCAACTCACCAATACTAGAATTTTCATGAGTATTCTTCATTGTAAGTTTTAAAATGTTGTTAGTCTAATTTCTATGAAAGCTCAGATGTTCTAGTTTACAGTTTGTGTGCATGCCAAAGACTTACACTGCTTAATAGACTGTTAATAAAACAAATGTTCAAAGTAAAATGAATGTTGCACTAGCTTCTAATAGTTACAAAAACATGTAAAGCTGTTTTTTTAAATGCGCCCATTTATCCTGTTTAAGGTTTCAGGCTCTGTATAACTATACTCCTAGGAATGAAGATGAGCTGGAGCTCAGAGAAAGTGATGTCATCGACGTCATGGAGAAGTGTGACGATGGATGGTTTGTGGGTATGTGTCCCCTTACTTTCAGACAAATTTGGCTGTTTTGCAATTTGCTCGAGTCTGTTCACTTGCATGCTTTGCTGTATTAGTCAAGCGCTCTTTGAATTTGTGGTTGCTTTGCTTCTTCATGCACTCACATGCACAGTGTATCCCGAGGCGGCCACATTTGTAGAGTGGGTCAGTATGCACTGCTTCCGGTATACGTGACTTTCTGCTAGTTACATTTCCAACTCAACTGAGAAGAGACTCCTTCAAATAACACCGACCAGGGAAGCCTGAGATCAAAACAACAACAATAAAACGTTCCCTAAGTGAGGAATATCAGAGCTTTATTCGTAGAAAATGCAGTTGTCACAGTGAGAATCTAATTTGAGAGGGAGTGAGATTAAGTGACCAACTCTCCCACTTACTGGGTCTGATGTGTGTGCCCTAAAGTCCAGTGATTCACCTTAGCTTTAATTTGTACGAGAAGAGGAGAGAACTTCCCGTCTTACCACTTAAAAGGTCATCCCACTCTTCACATCTTAGGTTTTCTAAGAAAAAAAAAAAAAAAAAACACCCTATAGTCAACTGTGTCATACACCAGGACACAGGAAAGAGATGAAAAGAAATAAAAGGAGGGGGAAAAAAAAAAAAAGGCAAAAGATGATGTAATCAGGGATCTTCACAGGCAGGTCTATTTGTGAAAAAAATATATGAAGAACTAAGACTACATGTGAAGTCACATGCCCCTGTGTCTATTTATATTAATTCTGATCTAGAAAAAAAAACAAGTGATTTACATACATGGGGATGAAGCAAACAGGAATCACTCCCAGTCAGTTCAGAGTGTAAATGAGATGAAAGTTGAAAGACTCTTCACTCTATTTGCACTGCAAATCTTAAAGAATGAGTACACCGAACTTTACAACAAATTTCCTAGAAATCATATTATTTGAAATCAAAGACAATTATATGGCTATTTGTGCATCTGGTTCAACTCATTATATCAAATTACACCCAGGGACAAAGCCCTCACCTACAAATAGTGGTTAACCTTTTTCTTCTTCTTTTACTTAGAAAATCATTCAAAATTTCTATGTTTTATCAAAGACTCTGACAGTGCTACCATTAAATCTGCGAAGTAGCATTGAATGTGATCTTACAGGAGATGAGACCGTTTTGTAGGTACAATGTCCCAAATAATGGCTTCCTGTGACACGTGTGTCAGGGGCCTCTTGCCCCGAGCCAGCCTTTACTTTGCTGCTTTTCCAGTCCCCTCTCACGCTGCCGGCCTCACCTTTATTTCCGATTCTTCCCTTTTGCTTAGCAGCCGTAGCGACTCAATTCTCCGATCTCCTCAGCAGAACTGCCTTTCCCTCCAGACTGACAGGCTGGGTTTTTGTTTAGCCTGTGATGAGGCACATCATTTATGCCTAAGAGGCCTCCAATGCAGTAGGCAGGGAGGCTGAATCTGCTGCCTGTTTTGTCTTGCTCTCATCCTGGAGTTTTCTTTCTTTTGGTTGGGACCAGCTGTCTTGTGAAGCCTTGTCAATGCAAAGTGTCTCAGCCGCATATACAAACTGACACTTCACTGTTATTACGCCTTTTCATGTATTGCTTCTACTTTCAGGAACCTCAAGAAGAACCAAATTCTTTGGTACTTTCCCCGGGAACTATGTCAAGAGGCTGTGAATCAATCTCCCTCATTATTTATGCCGCATTTCAGCAACACGTCTGCATAAACTTGCCTGAAACATCCCTGCAGGCATCATGTTGTCATGCCTTATGGTTTCCAGTGTGACGTCACCTGCTGCACCTGCTGCTACCAAACCACCAGCAGTGTAACTGTGTGCACCTTTGGGGAGACAGGGCAGACTTGCTTCCTCTCGAAAGGGTTTCCTCTCTGGCTTTCTGCTCTCAACTTTGAAAAGCTGATGTGTGGGATCAGAAAGAAAATCATACTTAAAAAGGGTAAAATATTCGAAGCAAAAAAAAAAAAAAAGAGAGAGAAGAGATAGAGAGAGGGTCTCCAGGAGATATTCTGGCTACATGGCTGCCCTGCAGCGTCTCTAAGATGTGCTCCCCTCAGGCCACCCGAAGATTGTTTATTCTGAAATGCTGTGGTTTGCATTTTTACATTCTTAGCTTGGCAGTTGATTTTCCTTTCACGCGTTTGCCTAGTGTCCTGGTTTACACGATATGACAACTGTACTTCAGCTAGTGTTTGCCTGCACTCGTATGTTGTAATATGCACAGTGATTACAAAACCTAAAGCAAGAATAGGAAGGTTCATTTGGGTGAGTGTGATTTGGTTGACTGGATGTGAGTTTTCAAATAGAAGTTTTTTCTGCACATTTTTTGTACTTTGTAGAAGTGCAAACAGCGACTAAGAACCCTGGATAGTAATCATGAGACTATAAGAGGCTTAGTTAGACTGCAAGGGAGAAAAGCTATTGTGTTGTAAAGTTGCATTGCTATTTTATATTAAAATGTAATCATCGGCATCATGAACAATGAGCTATTAGTGTTTTATTTATCTGATAGAATTTCAATAAAAGCAGTGTTAGTGAGAGGTGCAAAGAATTATTCTAACATAGACACTTGAAAGTATCTGTAAGCAATATTCGTAGGTAAGATTTCACTGTGTGTACACATACACATTTTTGAGATTGTATGAGAACATTAATCCATATGATACATTGTACATTTTATGGAAATGTAGAGGAATCTCACATATTATTTTATAGAAATAGAATATTTCAGAAGCATCGCAAGTATTAAAGTTGGTTTTAGCAAGGATTGCAATCAACACAATTATTTTTACTATGATAATTATTTTTCTTCTATGGAACCCAGAATCCTGGCTACATTTGAGGACAGGAATATATGTTGAGCCTGATTTTCCTGGTGTGTATAAAATATCTCCTAGGACTAAATAGGCACTTTTTAGAGACAATGTTAAATCATTCAGGTTCTGTTTTCTGCCCTAAAGCAGAAATTTATAAAATGATATGAGGGCCTGAAAGATTTAATGTGGTTCACAGTGCCTGAACTACACCTAACACAAGAATTAGCTTTGTATTTCTTATGACTTTGCATAAGAACTACTCATCTTTGGATTTTTGAGCACCTTATAGATAAAACTTTTTATGGCATTTCTTCCATGGACAGTGGTTGACCTTTTCACAAGATGTAGACTAGAATTTTGTACATATGTTTGCTCTTTTTTTGTACAGACTACTTAGTTGTTGAGAAAACAGGGGAATTTCCTAATTTGATCTTTATCCTTCACCTAAACTAAGCTAAAATACTTTCGGCAGATTATCCTTTACTTATCTCACAGATCAATCAGTCCTTGATAGTATGATTCTGTAAGATAGCATTTATGCAAGTGTGTGAATTTAAGAGATCCTAGCAGCCAAACTGAAATGTACATAAATATTGATTACAGAATTGCTTTAGGAAGGAGGTGGAGAAACATCTTTGAGCAGCCTATCTTGATTACTGTCAAGTTCACAACCAGCTTTATATTTTAAAGGCTTTGGGTTTGAAATTAAGTCAACTGCATGCAACTTTGCTGATAAAGGACTAGTTCTCTTTGATGCAATTTATGAGAAGAGACTTCAATATCTGTTGCCTGTCATATTTCAGAAAAATTGCTGTTTCTACCCTCTGTATCTGATTTTAAAAGAAAAAAATATATCCGTACCTGGGTTTCAGGTAACTGACTTTGAATTCTTACAAGCAAAGGTCATTGTGTTTTTCTTGAATAGATATATAATAAATTTTGCTTGGAAAGTACCCTTCAGTTTTTATTCTTGACATTTCTGCTTAGGTAAATTGAGTATTGTATTCCAATTTTTTTAGTTAACTAAGAGAAAATGCATCTGCTCTATGTTCCCTTGGCATACAAATGAAGAAGAGCTGTATTAGCATCAACTCAGAGAAGAAATATTTTTGAATCCCCCCAAGCTCATTTGTTAAACATTCTTTGAATAAAAATGTCTCTTCAGCTAAAAGAATACATACTAAAATATTTTGCCTCAAAACAGCTATGTTTCCAAGGAGGAAATAATTACAAGAAATTGTAAACATTTTCTCAATTCAACAATCTCAAATTTTAAAATCTTTGCCCTAAACAGCTTTAACACCATTGGCATGGCAGCGTCTATAATGCCCACAAACTTCCAACTGAGTTGCAAACCATGCACTATGGTAGAAGCTTTGCTGCTGTGCTTTGAATGCTCAATGTCCCCCCAAGGTCCATATGTTAGAGGCTTGGTCTCCAGGCTGGTGCTACTGTGACATGGTAGATTAGAATTGGGGCTAGTGAGAAGCCCTAGAGTCACTGGGAACACTGCCTTCAGCAGGTAGTATTCTTGAGAGGGTGGTTATAAAAACCTAAGTTTGGGCCCAACCACTCTGCATCCTAGCTCACAGTATGATTTTCCTGTACGCATGCTCCACCACCCAGCACCGGCCCCTCACCAGGGCCAGGACTTTGAACTCCAAAGCTGTGAGCAAAACAGCTATCTTTTCTTCATAAGTAACTTCTCTAGGGTATTTCACTGTAGTAACAAACAAATGAAAAACCACCCAACTGAGTTCCTTTCTGTTGCATACGTACTTCAAAAAGTTCATGGAATGTGGAATTACAAAAAACTGTGCCAGGATTTCAAATTTGGGGGAGACTAAAATAAGCCAATCTTTTAGTTCCATTTTTCCACAAGCATTTTGCACTGTCCTCCAAGTAAGAAGCTGGCTTTCCTGCTTGGACCCTTCCTAACCTACTTTGTTCCCTCAGTGCTCCATAGGTTCCAACCCCTTCCCATGTCTGTCTCTCAAGTATTCACAAACATGTCGGGCTTAATGCACCACTAACCATGATGTTCAACAACTGACTAACAGGAAGACCACAGTTGCACAGGAGTATAAACAAGGCTGAAAACAACAATCAAATCACAAGATGTCTGTTTTACTCCTATACGTTTTTCGGTATTCTATATTAACTACTAAATATCAGAGAATGCACCTGGTAGTCAATTAAAAATCAGTGGAGGGGCCAGCACTGTGGCGCAGCAGGTTAATGCCCTGGCCTGAAGTGCCTGGCCATATGGGCACCGGTTGTAGTCCTGGCTGCTCCTCTTCCAATCCAGCTCTCTGCTGTGGCCTGGGATAGTAGTGGAAGATGGCCCAAGTCCTTGGGCCTCTGCACCTGCGTGGGAGACCCAGAAAAAGTTCCTGGCTTTGGATCGGCACAGCTCCAGCCGTTGTGGCCATCTGGGGAGTGAACCAGCACATGGAAGACCTCTCACTCTCTGTCTCTACCTCTAACTCTGACTTTCAAATAAATAAAATAAATCTTTAGAAAAAAATGAGTTGAGGGAATGGCATTGTGGCACAGCAGGTAAAGCCACCTCCTGCAGCACCAGCATCCCATAGGTATGCCTGTTCAAGTCCTGACTGCTCCACTTCCGATACAGCTCCCTGCTAATGCACCTGTGAAAGCAGTAGAAAAAGGGCACAAGTGCTTGGGCCCCTGTACCCACGTGGGAGACCCAGAAGAAAATCCTGGGTCCTGGTTTCTGCCTGGCTCAGCTCCAGCCATTGCGGTCATTTGGGGAGTGAAACAGTGGATGGAAGATCCATCTCTCACTCTCTCTCTCTCTCTCTCTCTCTCTCTCTACCTTTCAAGTGAATAAAAGAAATCTTAAAAAAAAAAATCAGTGGAGAGTACTTATATAATATACTCCTGACCAAAAAAAACCTAAAATATTTACTATCTATCCCTTCACAGAAAAAAATGTGCAGGTTTCAATCTATGTTAACGGTTAGCAACAAACTTGGAAATTGACCAGAAAGAGCAGAAATTGAACACCTGTTGCATGCTAGTCTGTTACATGTGTTCTATGTCTTTATCCTTACAACAAATCTAAGAGATCAGTGTGCCCATTTTACAGATGAGGGAACTGAGGCTCTGAGAGATTAAATACTTTATCCATATGTGTAAGGTGTCATACATAACATGTGATGGAATTTGAATTCAGAATCTGGTGTGTCCACGCTTTAACAGCCCAAGCTTGGTGTGGAATACATCCACCTTTCTCTATCCACTGTTCTCACAAACTGAGATCGGGGAGCGCCACCCCTCATAACAGCATGCTACTGTGCCTAGAATGACAAGAAAGATGTGTGCCTCATCTGGCACAATAATATTGCTAACTTTCCTTTCCAAAGGTGCATGGTTAACCAGTGAGGACATAATTTCGATGACTGACATGTTCAAACTGAACACGGGCCTGTCTGTGAGCTGGGATCCAGTAAGTTCTAGCGGCTGCTGCCAGCGGGGCAGCTGGCAGGGCTCTGGGGAAGTGCTGGGTATTGTTGAGTCCCTTGGAGACGGGCAAGCGCGCCGTGCTCTAGGAACACCGTGTGCTCACAGGACGTCTTTAAAATACACAAAGCCCCAGGATACACTAGCCATGCTCTCCTGGATAGCTCGCTCAGTCAGAGCCTTAGCTCACTGCTAAATTCAGCCCCCTCGTAGCTCAGGAAAGTTCCGTCTGAGCTCATAGACTTACATATATCTTGACCCAAAAAACTTTCAGTGCAAGACAAACATCTGCCTAGCAAATCTTCACCTGTTCCTTTGGGGTTTCTTGTTTCATCCTTTTCCCTAAAATATGATGGATGACTCAGTTGTGCCTGTGTATTCCAAACCGAAGTGCCATCTCAAATAAAATCCATGTGATTATTCACATCAGTGGACAGGTACCGTTCCTTGCACTGACATTGCAGAAACCTTGAGAATGACTTGTTAAAACATTTACTTCTCTTTTTGGTTACATAAGCAGTAGAGGCTTATTGTAGCAAAATTAGAAAATGAAAATGAGCAGAACAAGAAAATGCAGATGCTGCACTAAGAGTCTCATTTAACATACAAAATTATACTTTGGAACAAATCCTCCCAGAATATTTTTTGGCATGTACATGTTTAAATACGGATGTGTGTGTGTGTGAATGGTATGTAGGCACAACAGAACATCCTAAACTCTCTGCTTTACAGCCTGCATTTACCCTTGAGAAGCACCCTGAGAGTGACTAAATCATGTTTTAAATTCCAGTCTCTCAAAAGAACAAGGGGTGGGGGGCAGAGCTGTGGCACAGAAAGTTAAGCCTCCGCCTACAGCACCAGCATCCCCTAAGGGCACTGGTTCAAGTCCTGGCTGCTCCATTTCCCATCCAGCTGCCTGCTAATGCTCCTGGGAAAGCAGCAGAGTCTGGCCCAAGTGCTTGAGTCCCTGCACTCACATGGGAGACCCAGAAGAAGCTCCTGGCTCCTGGCTTTGGATCAGCTCAGCTTAGGCTGTTGTGGCCATTTGGGGAGTGAACCAGCAGATGGAAGGTGGATCTAAGTTTTTCTCTCTCCTCCTCTCTGTATCTCTGCCTTTCAAATAAGCAAAATTGAATATATAAAAAAGAACAAAGAAATGTCAAAGTCTGTCTCCAGGAGTCATGAAGATGAAATTAACTAAAAACCCAAGGTAAGAATTACAGAATTAACATCAGACTAGAAAATCAGTTATAATCCAAGGAATTAGTGGAGAAATGAAAGAAAACATGAAGTAGAAAATCAAGTTATGTTTATTAGCTCTCTACTGTAAGTCATCACACACATTAGGCCTCTCCTGGGCTGGCAAAGGGAAGCAGGACATTACCTTGAGAAAACTGAGCTGCAGACTACAACATCCAAGCCACCTGGGTGAGCAGAGTGACAACCCTAGTCCACAGGAAAATAAATTTTTTAAAGATTTATTTATTTACTTGACGGGCCGGCGCCGTGGCTCAATAGGCTAATCCTCCACCTTGCGGCGCCGGCACACCGGGTTCTAGTCCCGGTTGGGGCGCTGGATTCTGTCCCGGTTGCCCCTCTTCCAGGCCAGCTCTCTGCTATGGCCAGGGAGTGCAGTGGAGGATGGCCCAGGTGCTTGGGCCCTGCACCCCATGGGAGACCAGGAAAAGCACCTGGCTCCTGGCTCCTGCCAGGATCAGCGCGGTGCGCCGGCTGCAGCGGCGGCCATTGGAGGGTGAACCAACGGCAAAGGAAGACCTTTCTCTCTCTGTCTCTCTCTCTCACTGTCCACTCTGCCTGTCAAAAAAAAAAAAAAAAAAAAAAAAGATTTATTTATTTACTTGAAAGTTACAGAGAGAGAGTTCTTCCATCTGTTGATTTACTCCCCCATATGGCCACAACAGCCAGGTCTTGGCCAAGCCAAAGCCAGGGGCCTGGAACTCCATCTGAGTCCGCTACATACATTGGTGGCAGGGACCCAAGTACTTGGGCCATCTTCCACTGATTTCCTAGGTGCATTAACAGGGAGCTGGATCAGAAGAGGAGCAGCAGGGCTCAAACTGGTGCTTATATGGGATGCCAGTGTCACAGGCAGTATCTTAACTTGCTGTGCCAAAATCCCAGCCCCAGATAATTTATTTTGGAAGATTAAAAAGATAAGTTTCATTAAAGTTAGATGTAAAGTATTTTCATGATGTCCTAGGCAAGTGGTTCTTACCTGAGGGCAATTTGTCCCTCTTTAAGGGGACATTTGGAAATGGGGCATCTGGGGTTGCTACTGGTGTCCAGTGTGTAGTAGCCCAGAATGCTGCTAACTTCTCAAAATGCCCAGGACAGCCCCACAGCCAAGCATTACCCGATTCCGAATATCTGTAGTAGGAATTCAGAAGTTCTGCCCTGGCCAACTCATGTGATCTAAGAGAATCACATGGTGAATCATTTGGGGGAT